GGCAAAATCATTTGATAGCATCTTATAAAACTTTTAAAAAATGGCACTTTGATAGGTTAAGGATTGCCATCCTTGGCCTGTGGCTTGCTGTATTTAATAACTTAAGTATATAAAATAAATAAACACCACAAACATATAACCCCGCTATGATATTGTCTTAACTGCGATTAGCGTTCAGTTGGAACCAAAAAATAAACAAAATTAAACAGAAATACTTTACCTCGTCACGTTCCTTCTGACTGGCTCTAGTTTGTGCCCTACTCTGCACCAATTGACGTTCTAATTCAGATATCTGTGTCTGCATATATCGCCTCATAGATTCAGAACGTTCTTTACTGCGTGTTAAGGATCTATTATTTTCTTCCTTCATTTCTTCAATCTCCTTTTGTAACTTTGCACATTCCGTTAATTTCTCATCATACATACTTTCTTCTTGAAGTAATTTCTCCTCAAGTCTTAGTACATTGCATCTAGAAAAAAACATTAAAATAACAAACAACATTTTTTCTATTTGGAAAGTATACTGTTTTTACTTTAATTTATCTTACTCTGACAATATTGTTAGAAAGAAAATCCGACAGAGTGCCGGTGTACTGGCACAACACCAGCCTTACTAAAATGTCAATTATGTCCCCTCACTAATCATTCTGACGTTTCCCTTTGAAATGAAAGCGCGCCATTCACGACAAAGAACTCTAACTAATAATATCTAAAAGTATATTCTTATGCAGAGGCAATTCATCAGGGAAGCAGGGCATCAGGGAAGCAGGGCATCAGGTGTTGGAGCACCTGGGCACCATTAGAAAGACTTTTTCAGGCACCACACTGGTACAATCACCAGAGCGCCCAATATGTTTAAAACGACTTTGTTATCTTATAGCATTTACTTTAATTCATCAACTTGTCGCGTCAAATCACAAATTTCCTTTTGTTTCTCCTCAATTGATAATCTCATTGCCGTATTTTCTTCTAATATTTTATATTTTTCAGCTTTTTCTTGATTAAAATTATTGACAGCTATAACCAACTGAAACACATTTAAAATTCACATATATATGTACATACGTTGAAAATTTTAAATTCTAAAAATCCAATTTTTGTCCCTAAGTGTAGTTTAATTTACCATCTTTGCTATAAAGTTCTAATTTAAATACAATTCTTTCCATTTCTTCTCTTTTCTATATTTGAGGTTAACACACACTTTTTCAAATGCGTGTTAACCTTTAAGGTTAAAGTCAATGGTACTTCATTCATTCGTTTTTCAACTGCTTTAAAAGTTTTAGAGTTTATGACGTACCTTTTCTTTCACTCTGTTTAGTTCGCTAGATAATTGTTGTGTACTGTCCTCAGCCAATCTCTGCATCTGCTTTGCCTCTTGCAATTGCATTTGTGAACCTTTCAGCAGATCAGGCAAAGGCGCAAGTTCTTGTAATTTTTCCTGAAACTGCATCTGTAATAAATTTTAAAATCATTTCCTATCAGTCAATTATCAATATTATTTAACTATTTAAATAAGATTCTTTGGAAAGTAAAAGCATGAAGCTGTTAGACAATCTATCATTATTTTAACGAAGAAAATTACCTTCATTTTTTGTATTTCAATTTGAATTTGATCAGAAACTTGTTTATTGTCAAATTCGTATAAATCTAATTGTCTCTTTAGTTCTTCAACTTGTTGTTGTGCTTGGAGATACTGAAATACATTGTTTATGTAATGTATCAAAAACTAGATGACTACGTTTTCAAGGGGTGTACGGGCATTATTACGATCCATGCCTCGTCTCTTTTGATAAGGAGATTCTAGAGCTTAATGTGATATTGCAAAAGCATTTAATGCTCCTTTATAACTATGAGCTCTCCAAGGAATTTAATTGATTTTATAGCCTCTATTTTCTATCTTTTTTCTTTGTAAAAGAATTACACAACATGTCCGTAACTTTTAGGGGATTGGACAGTGAACTTGCTCGTATATGTTAACAAAATATATATTTTGGAATGAAATATTGATTAAGTGTGAAGGTATAATTTAAGTTTTGCGATATTTTTTGCAGTTCTATTCATTTTAGTTCGTACCTTTAACCTATAATCTTGTAATTGTTCAGTCTTTTCGGAGAGTGTTATCCTCATCTCTTCAATCTCGTCTTTAGCGTCTCTTATCTGCGTCTTAAGACATGATATTTCTTCATCGGTAACTTTCCGAGGTTCCCTTTCCTGAATATAAAGGAAACGTAGAAGGATAGTGAATAAGTGGTAATATAATACGTATTTGGCAAGGAACACTGGAAATATTTTCAACGAAGAATCCGTAGTAAGCGACAATTTAAGTTAAATTCCTATGAGAATTCTTACGGTGAAGAAAAACATCGTGATGCAACCTGCACTTATGGGCGAAGAAATTCAAAGATGTGTGAAGTCAACCCGCACTTAGCCAGTGTCAATGCTAACTTAGGGTAGGCTCCGAGCCCCTCAGTGGGGACGTATAGTGAGCTGATGATGAATAAGCGACATACTTTTATTACTTATTTAGATATGATGTATACCTTTTTAGTAGTAACTAAAGCGGTCGTACAAATATTATTAAGTTTCAATTCTAAATCTTTTAGTTTCGACTCATATTTTTGTCGTTTGAATCTTTCTTCATCAGCAGCATTCTTCGCTCTAATGAGGTCTTCACGTAATTTAGACATCTATAAAATGTATAGTTTTTTTTTTATAAAAATCAAAAAAAATTGTAACTTTTAATGTAAAATACAAGATAATCGTTATGTACCTCCGTGTACTTCATAAAATCATTGTCTTGAACTTTGTTCATGTAAAGAGTATCTTCAATAACGTGTTCAGATCCCTTGAAAGTAATAAAATTCATATCAGATTTCATAAATATTTTACCACAATATTGCTGTACCAATTCACCGCTGGACAAAGACTTCCCCCAGTAGAACTCAGGAACGTTGTCTCTAAACTAGTCGCCCAAGTGGAAAAGGGATTTAAAAGTCTATTGGCAAAATTTCTAATGCAACGATATCCATATAATGACACACATTGAAGGCATTCCGTTGCAAGCTTTTAGACCACGTTTCCACTAATACGACGATGTAAGACAGATTAACGCTACGAATTAACTATCTAAGTATGCTTAAAAAGTGTATTTAATGTACACGTAGATGTTTACTTCATAGATAGGCTGACGCTTCGTATTATGCAGATCTAATCTGTCTCGTTTGATGGCCGCCAATTCCATTTGTATTTCTTTGACCTCCCCCTCCATCGCCCCAAGCTGCTTTTGCTGAAAATCCAGAGGGAAAGTTGAATAAAGATATGCGAGAAACATTATTGCTTTTTTCAATAAATGATTGCACGTGGCTAACAAATGAAAGTAGGCTAACTTTTAATTCTAGTAATCTAAATTACTTATGATGAATTGGTTACTCTAGGTCTGCGGGAAAATTCGGTAAGATGTTTAAAAAAATTCAAAGCTTTAATATGACGATTAATTTTATTTAATGGTTCAAATTACAGTATAGGACCTGTCAGGTATATATATCATTTCTCATCTACACATTGGCAGAGTTGCCGATAAATACAAATCGCCAGTGCTATAGATACGTTTTGTCGACGTACGAATTGTTGGTATCGGATTATAGAAATCAACAGAACTAATATAAAAGTTATGATACAACGTAAGAAATTATTATCGTATCGAAGTTAACATGAATGTTTTTTTATAAGATTGTTGTAATAAATTTACACATACTAATATTGACGATTCACCACAGCCCTGAACATCTTCTGGTTTAACTTTAGCCAAAGGCCAATATTCCGATTGAGGCATGAATTTGGTGCAAGATATTCAAATGCCACGAAATATAATAATTAAATATTTTAAACGAAATAGGCATACAAATATTAAATTAAAAAGTATAGTAACAAATTGCAATGACAGAAAATATTTTACTCAAAAAAATATTTTATAGTAAGCTGTTGACAGTATAACAATAAATTTTGAAGTCGGCCAGTTGCAACAATTTTTTTTGTTACAAAACATACAACAACACACCTGACCCCAGTGGGAAAAAGTGAAACTACAAAATTGGTATTTTGACTATAGAGAAATGGACTAGTCAAAAGCCGCCCGCGCCCGTTGCAATTAAAATAGGTAGGCCAATTTAATAAAACACATTCCATCAATTTTAGTTCCATCACTATGCATGCTTTTAAGTAGATAAACCTTACTAGGCTAAGTTCCTTAAAAACATCGATTAAAGTAAATGAATCGATATGGACATTACATATATGTGAATCGAATTCGGTGGTTATGAAAAAACCATGTTCTTGGTTCGAATTTTTTGTAAAATCATAAGTATGATAAAGAAAAAGAGTATACCGAAGCAACATTTTAACGACAGGCGATTGACATTATTATGATAAATATGTATTGAAAATTTGATTAAAGGTAAGCAGTTCTTCAGAGAAAGAATTTTTTTTTACGTCCGCCGTTACAAGGTTGATGAATTCGGATAAGTTGTCAAATGTCATATTAAAAGATAGCTCACAAGCGCCCTCCTGTCAAAAAAATGTCTCAAGATCTTCTTTACAGCTGTCATGACGTGAGCTGTCTTTCTTTTATGTCATTTTCTATCTTTATTTAGGTTTTATATGTATTTTGGCAGAATCAACCGCGATTGTAGCGCCTCTCTCACCGTCTCAGATATAATTGTTTCATTATACACGTCTTTTCGGGTACCGGTGAATTTGTCGTGTCTTTTCTTATGTCAAATTAAGTATGTTTTACTTTTAAAATAAGCTTGTTGCACGATAGTTTGATTTATGCCCATAGGTACAGGTAAATTTGTAGATCCATAAGGAGAGATTGATATTTATAATTTTACTTGTTCCAATTTAATTTCTTATACTCTTTTTTTATGCTAGTAACATCTAATTCCTTTTTATTTTTACACTTTGAGCTATACAGGGTAGTGCGTCATAGTTTTAACGATTAATCCTTCTCACCTTTATGTTGAGTGCAATAAGGATGTTCTTACAGGTAGAATATTCCAGGTCTGGCCGGGCTCCTAGTTGACCTAAATTTTCAAAGTTGTAGTGTTGCTGGCATCTGTGTGTGTTACCTGTGTAAATAATAATCGCGTTCAATACTGGCGAGCTGGCGAGGTCGAGCTTTGCCGAGCCCCGGCCCGCCCGGTATCCTCGGAGGTGCGTGACATGACATTTGTACGTCAATACTTCGTACTGTTCATACGTCTTCGTTAAATAACGATTTTTCACTGAACCAAAGTGTATTATAAGTTAATTTTATCTAAAAGTCTACATTGTGCAATTACTTATTCTGTTTTAGTATAAAATTATAAAATTTTGATTAATTTGAACGTTTAAATTGAAAAACAGTTGTCCATTTATAAAATGCCCAATCCTAATCTTCACATTGATGAACCGAATGTAAGTATATTTAAAAAGTATTCTTAATTTATAGAGTTATTACATTAAACCGATATGTGTATGAAACAATATAAAATCCATATTTTAAAAGATATACAAAATTTATGGGTAATATATTCTACAGTGAGGAAAATACATAGGTTAAATAATTGAGATAAAAAAATACTTGTAACTTGACATCAACAAAAAAGGTTCATACAGAAATTTCTTTGTTTTGGGAAAGAGTGGGTAGTTCAAAATACAATAGTTATGTGCATACTATAATAAAAGATTGAGGAACAGAAATAAAAAGGAAATAGATTTAATGGAAGATTGAAGTCAACTTTCATTAGATTCATGAGTTGAATCTTCAAAGAAAATGCGTTTATAAGATACAAAGTTCAAATTATTGGGGAGCAACCCATGATATATGGATTGAGTAAAAAGTTGTATTATTAATGGTAACTGTCATTAGACATCTAACACAAGCTTTAGCATGAATCTAATGGTAAAGAAGAATGTAATTAACATAATTTGTTGTAAAATTAGCATGATTCTACCATATCGGTATTTTTCTAATAGGTTGGGAGCAGACATTTTACATCTACACAAATAGACGAAACATGAGAACAAAACCTTATACTCAAAATGTATCACCAAATCAGTTTCAGTTATCTAGTTTGACACTGCAAGCTGTGATTGAACCTTTCATCTATTGTTAAATAGTTTTATACTTTATCGCTATTTGTTAGAGATATGATTTTGTTTATCAGTTGGTACTAATGATAGTATGTCCGTTCTGTTGTGAACTCTTGTACCATAAATGGCGTGAACTATCATAGACAATAGGGTAACATTCTGTCTTATGTTCAATCCATTTTTGGAAACTATTATTTTTAATAAATAAATTAAGAAAACATGGCGACTATATCAACTGTATAAGTGTAATCTATACAATATTTATGCCAGTCAAAATAATACTGTGTCTGTAAGTTATAACCTAAGTTTTTTCGCTTTTAAATATTTCTTACAAATTCAGCGATAAATCCTTTGCAGATTTAAAATGAAAGCATTTTAATTTGAAAATTGGGAATTAAAAGAATTCACAATGAAAGGCCTACCTGTAGACACGCATATATATTTCGAAGAGGGTCTTCTAACCACAGCTCCTCACATTACAACTGTTGATACATGGAATACTCTAGACTTCATTGATCCGGCTTTATCCCATAGAAAAATTAAAAGAGTAAGATTATCTCAATATTACATTCACCTTTTTCATAGATCAAATTCGATAATCAGTTTCAGTGTGCATTATATTGATTATCCATTCATATTTGGATTATACCATTGTTGAACTTGTAATCTGCATGGCCTGTGGTTTCATCAATTTTTCATATTATAATTGGGTTACAAGATATATCTGTTGATGCTGTTTAATAATATCAAAAAGCACAAAACAGAAGTGACCTACGCTTTTTGTCCCAGTCCGTAAACAAGTAAAAATATAAATATATAACCTCAATATGTTTGTCCACTGACTTACCTTTCACTCCTAAGATAAAAGTCTCGGTATCTAACATATTGTGATCCCTGTCATTATCTTTGACAAAATAGAGATGACAATATGTTTTAAACAGGGATATTGATCTTAGAAACCCATGGTTAGTGGTATAGCAACTTTTGTTGCCCAATCTTGTGTGTTATATTTTAAATTACTTTGAGATTCTTTATATTGTGGCCACATAGTTTTACACCCTACCAAGCTGAGTCCACATTTTGTTTATAAGAACTTACTTCATCCAATAATAAATTGAGTATATTATTGCAAACTAAATACTTGGCATTTTTGTCAACCCTAGTAAGTAAAAGATTGAGGCGCAAAAGATTTAGTGGTTATCTAGTTGTTAGTACATTTTGAGCTTTAACTATAATACATGATTCAGCAATAATATACATATTTATAATTATGCATCACAAACTTATTGTAGGCTTACTGTCAACTTCACTGGGCGATATCATTTTATATAACAGAACAACACTGTCATCAAACATATTAAGTAGTTTTTTTTGCTCTTTTATACTTTCATTAACTCAATAAAACAGTAAGCCAATATACAGCCAGTATGCAACGATCATTGAATAATTTGCACAATTCCTTACAGCGATGGAATCGTCTCTCACGACTGCAAAGATCTATTGTATACGTCATACTAGTGTTGCTTATAACATTAATAGTTGTATACATTGCATCAAAAATGAGGAATACGGAGAATGATAATGTAAATCTAATACTGGTAAGTACATTTTTATTTAGTTATTATAATTAGAATTTCAAATGCAATAATCTAAGTTCACAAGAAATGGTATATAAATAATTATGTTAATTGTAGTCAGAAGTAACGGGACAGTAGCATTTTGCCTGATAACGAGCAATCACATTCACCATTCGTGTTGTTAATGAATTGAACATTATAGATAACCTTATCTGCACTATTAGTATTGAATTTCCCTATTTTATTTACATCCAATACTAAATTTCATAATGATAAAACATGGCTCTTACAGTTGCTAAAATTGTACAGATAACATATATTAAATTATTTAAACTTTCATCCACTTTGTTTGATGGTGACACCAATTAGTTTTGAACCTAATGGGGACCCTTGATCAGGGTGATTGGGACTGATATTATTTTGCGCTTACGGCCCGTCTCTCACTGGATTGAAGTGAAGTAATGACAGTCACCCGGATGAAGGGACGACAATAGGCTCGAAACTAGTTGCTGTGACAACAGACAGATATGTGAGCCTTTAAATATATTAGTTCTGTCAAATTACTTTAAACATGTTAGATAATATCTATCTCTTTTAATTTCAAAGAGAACTAGAGTGATGACAATATGTTTTTGGACGGGTAAAATTTATTCTTGAGCAATTTGTTTCTTATCACTTTACAAGAAGATAACGAGATATGAATAATATGGGATTTATATTTAATATTGGATTTTTATTAATTATATTTACTTGTTTTAGGATCAAAATGCGACTCTAGTCAATGCATCGGGAATATTGCAAATTCATCATAAGTCTGCCATTGATACTATGGAACGTCCCACTTTTACAGGTACAGACTCCATATACAACATAATTATTTTTTATTACAAAAGTAAAGTTTTTAAATTGTCTTTAGTTTGATGGTATCATTTATAAATAAACTAGCTGTTGCCTGCGACTCCGTCCTCGCGAAATTGAAAAAAAAATAGTAGCCTATGTGTTCTACATCTGTGCCAAATTTTAACTAGATCTATGCAGCCATAATTTTGTATTTGTAATTTTTTACAGTAATTTCTATTTTGTTATGATTTCTTTGGAGTACTGTCAGTTGGTTGTTTTTTTTTAATAAGTATATTTTGATTTATTTCATAATCTTTACTATTTTGATTTATATTCATTTTTAAAATTGTTAATCTTGAATAATAATTATTCCAGGCCCAGCTAATGCCCGACAGTATGCAGTGGTGGAGAGCTTCAAGCATGCTTGGAAAGGATACAAGGAGCGTGCTTGGGGTCATGACAACTTGAAACCTGTGACTGGAATGGCTTACGACTGGTTCTCACTGGGCCTTACTATTGTCGATGGATTGGATACTGCATTCATAATGGGACTGACTGATGGTATAGTTTAAAAAGCAAATAATTTTATAGAAATAAATAATTTTTGTTCCTTCTTTAATATTAATTAGACAGGACATTTTTAACCTAATTTTAAACTTATTATAACTAGGTAGCAAGTCTAATTTGACAATAATTCCAATGTCCGTTCTATAACTGAATTAAATGAATATCTTTGGATTTGAATTACATTTTCTTTCATAAGGTTTCAGTGGTTAATATTTATAATTATTTCAGAGTATGAAGAAGGCAAGAACTGGATAAAGACTGAATTAATATTCACAAAGAACAAGGATGTTAATTTCTTCGAAGTCACAATACGTGTGCTTGGCGCTTTGCTGACCAATTATCATTTCTCTCAAGATGAAATGTTCCTTGATAAAGCGGTCAGTATTTTAAAACATCTATACTCTTAAAACCATAAACAATTTATACCATATCATAGACTAACCCTTTTTACTCTGTAGTTGACTTTTTAAAACTATAACTAGAAATTGTCATGTGCTATGGACTAAATTTGGTATTCTATTAGGCGATATAACTTAGCTATAAAAAGATAAAAGATTTGTCTGCGCGCTATAATAAATAAGCCATAAAAGACAAGATCATAGTTTTTTTTTTTAATTATAATTATACCAACAGTTTATTTCAATTGTCAGTATAACTTCTTATTCTATATCTATTCTTGTCTCTGTATTTTTAGAGAAAATGAAAGGGATGACAAATTGTATCACAAAAATGTCACTGTAGTGCAGTTCCGGGGTGACACTATTTTGATATTTATAATTAATCAAAAATATCTTATACCTTTACAGAAAGACTTAGGTGATCGTCTGATGTCAGCTTTCTCGTCACCCTCTGGCATACCTTATTCCGATGTGAACCTGGGCACAAGGACGGCTCATGCTCCGGAATGGTCTCATTATAGTACTACCGCAGAAGTAACCACTGTGCAGTTGGAGTTCAGAGAACTTTCTAGAGCCACCAATAATCCTGCTTACGAGGTATGAATATTATAGTTTACAATGTAAAAATAAAGCTGTTAATATTGAAAACATATTGTCGCGCATACTTTAAAATGTTTGATATTTTATTGCTTTCAATTAACAGATATATAACCTATTTGGTTATATATTTATCTAAGCTGATTACGAAATCTATATTTCTAAGTGAATAATCTCTAAATTTTAAATGAGATAAGAAATATATTTGCGATGTAAAATGAGTTTAGTGACAATGATCTTAGAATAAAACGGCAAAGCAATTTATTTATAATATTAAAATTTAACTGAGTTTCCACTAGTCGCATCTGCACAAAAAAATATAACTGATGTATAAAAATAATAAGAGAGATGATAAAATGTTTTCGTGTTCTAGTGGAAACGAACATTAACAATGCGAAGTATTTTATCGGAAGCGATATTTTATTGTTTCAATAACATCGTTAACTTCAAATAAACTATAAATAACGTAACTCTATTTATAAATGTCGGCGCACGATAACGCATAGATTTCTCTGCTGCCTTACGAATGTTTAATATATTTTTTGTAATTTTGACCTTTTGCTAGCGATAGCCATCGCGAATTATTAATTATTAAATAACTGAAGCTTATTTAGTTAGGAAAATTTAGTCTATAACATTTGACCCTGCGTAAAAAAATGTTTTTTCTTGCAATTTTTTTATAAGTTTTGATGTATACAAATTGAGTTGTTTTCTTAAAAAATGAGCGCTTACAGGACGCTGTATCGGCTGTATCTGAGAAGATTCATCTATTGCCGAAGAAACACGGTCTTGTCCCGATCTTTATAAATCCGAATACCGGCCACTTCTTACCTCACGCTACAATAACTCTGGGTGCTAGAGGCGATAGTTACTATGAATATCTACTAAAACAATGGTTGCAGACTGGCAAGACTATTAACTAGTAAGTATTTTTATCTACCTACTTTAATGGAGTCGTTAAGTGTTAAGAGAGAAGAATTTTGTTATTTTTGACACTGACAGGGGGGCGTTAGTGAGCTTTTAATATTTAGTTTGACTTAAGCCAACCTGATCAGATAAATAATACAAAATAGTTATGTTATTATACAAAATTATTGTTTTATATTCATCATCATCGTCAGTTCACTATACGTCCCCACCGAGGAGTTCGGAGCCTTCCCTAAGTTAAGGGTGACTAGGTCATAGTTAACCATGCTGGCCAAGTGCGGTTTGACTTCACATATATCTTTGAATTACTTCTCAGATATGTGCAGGTTGCATCACGATGTTTTCCTTCACCGTAAGAACGTCGGATAAATGTGCATATGTAAATCGGAAATCGAAAAACACATTAGTACATGGCGGGATTCGAACCCAGGACCTGCAGATTGCAAGTCAAGTGCTTGACACCTGAGCCACCGATGCCTTGTTTTATATTAGATATAAAAAACAGAAATGAAACCGTGATTAGGTTTAAAAATAAACAAAAATTATATTCCTCTTAAAGATATTGACTAATTTTTTATTTTTTTCAGTTTACTGGATGACTATATGACAGCTATAGAGGGTATTCGTCAATTCTTAGCGAGACATTCAACACCGAATAGGCGATTGTTTATCGGAGAACTATCAGCCGGATCAGAGGTAAAAACATATGTGTGTATATATATATATCTATTTTTTGATTAAATATGAGAAATGAATAGAAGAAATTTTTACCCCTGATGTTTTTTTTCAGTCCTTCAATCCAAAGATGGATCATTTAACGTGTTTCTTGCCGGGAACATTGGCGCTAGGACATGCTAATGGTCTGCCAGATTGGCACATGTCTATGGCCGAAGATCTTCTATATACATGCTATCTGACATATGCTGCTCATCCTACATTCTTAGCACCAGAAATCACACATTTTAATATGGTAAGTAATAATATGACTAAATTAAGTAAAGACAAAAACGTCAAGTTTGATACACAACTATTATAACATATTTCTTATTATTTACACTTATATATATTTTACAATAATACTTCATGAAATACTGAAAAGAAGAGAAATCATTGCTGCTATAGTGTGTCTATTTAAGATAGTTAAACTGTTTTTAATGCTTTTTTAGTTTATTGCGCCAGACATAGCTAAATATCTGTAGTAAATTCAAAAAGTAATAAAATGCATACGTTATATTATTTATTTATATTAATTAATATTATTAGGACCCCGATTCTCGATAGTTTATAGTTCGCAATACGTGTACAGTCCGAAACTATGACAACCGTCTAATAAGTACAATATTAACCGTCATACAAAATTAATTCGATATTTAATAGGCGTCAGTTGTCAAACTAATCTATCTTAAATATACACACTATATGTATGGATTGACGTTCTGTCGTTTACTTCATTTTGACGTTAGGATTGAAATATTCACATATTTCACAGGCAAGTGCATCTGCTGATATGTACACGAAATCAGCTGATGCACACAGTCTCCTGCGTCCCGAGTTTGTGGAAAGTCTGTGGTATATGTATCAATTGACTGGCAACACCACTTATCAAGATTGGGGCTGGCAGATATATCAGGTAATAATGAATTAAGCAATCCTTCAGTCTAAGTTGCTAAATGTGCACTAAAGATCGCATTTAGGAATTTCATCATGATTGGTTTAGTGGTTTATTGATTTAATTCTGAGATTATATTAAATATGTGTAAAAAACAAGTTGGAAGATTATTTTTGTTAAAAATTAGATGAAGAATCGCCATCTATTAGGATATATCTAAAATTGATGCTGGCAAACTTATCTGACGTTTCTACGAGATGGCGCTGTACAAAATTTTAATAGAACGAATGAAACTATAATTTTAACTTTTATTACTATTTACGATTAATTTAATTAATGAAAATTCTTTACTTTTCAGGGTTTCGAGAAGTATGCGCGAGTTACTTACGGCTATTCATCTTTGGCCAGCGTGAAAACTGACAAGCCCGCCCACAGGGATATGATGGAGTCATTCTTTCTCTCGGAAACGCTTAAATATCTGTATTTACTCTTTAGTGAGGATAGATATCTCATAGATTTAAATAAATATGTCATCAATTCTGAGGCACATCCGTTGCCCATACATACAAGTTAATTCTAGACGTCCAAAGTTACGCATTATATAAAAATAAATATAAAAAAAGTGAGAATTATACCAATGAAATAAAGGTATCTGAACTTTTCGATGAATATCTGTAGTTTTACGTCTTCTGTCATATTTAAAAGATGAAGCCGAATTATTTTAAATTTATATTGTAAAAAAAAAATGCCCAATCATGATGAGACTTTAGGGCGTAAATTGATAAAAAATCTCATAGTAATTTTTATTTTAGCTAAAAAAAAATATTTTTATTTTTTACCTTTTACAATTTTAGGTAAAATATTTTGACAAGACAAGATCGGTTGTTATATTTATTTTTATTAAAAAAATTGTTTTTTTTTATAGCAGATTGTTTTAAGAAATATTAAAGTGCATATCAAATTGTTTTTGGTTGTAAAGATTTAAATATTGAAATAATTTGATAATAATTATTAATTTTCTTGCGTTATAATGCAATATTACTATGGACAGTGAAATATAATTAGTATATAGTTTTATTAGTACATTATGTTGCAATTTTAGTGTAACATTTGAAAAGTATCAATTTGTGTGATTAAAAATATGGCAATTCTGTGTAATTCCGATTACACATTTAATGGATTTGCAATTATTGAATACAGTTTCAGATTAGCGTGTAGTTTTCTTTATAGGTCATTGATCTGTTTCAATTATATTTTATGTGCATACTTCCTTTCCTAACAGATGTATAGATGTCGACAGTAAAATATTACATTTCTGTGTAATATACTTTTACACAAAATTTCAATGTTCATATCATGTTGCAATTCTGTGTAATTGTTAATATCAATTTAATTAATCATATATCTGAATAAAAATGATATTACGCAATTGTCTTGATGGAAAATGGAAGTATTGCAATTATGTGTAGTAGAATGTTTTTGAACAGTCAAGATGTCTCAATATAGAAATAGCTTTGCAATTCCGTGTATCGATGTCTATGTAGAAAATCTGGCTACAAGTTTATTAGTAAAATTAATAATGAACAATGTATGCCGATTAATAGAAAAATAATCAATTAATCTTAGTAAGAAATAGTTTTTTTGAAAATCTGGATGTTGTGTATACCGAATTTAAGAATATCTTGGTGTCTATAGAGGAAAACAATTTTAATTCTATGTAGTATGAATAATTATTGGAAACAATCAATTGAAATATCAGTGTGTCGCGTTAACCGAACGAAATATTACTCAGTAGTCAATAGTGAAGCAAGTTGTTTGAATTATAAGATGTGGGACATTGATTTGTGGCATTTAAATTAATTATTTCGTAATGTTTATTTGCTTTTTTTTTTATTAAATTTAACATTTTTTTGCATCGCATTATACGCATTTATAAATTGTGAATATTAATTTATTACAATTCTGTGTAATGTGAATTTTCAAATTCAGTAAACTGTGGCAATATTGTGTACAATGTGTACACCAAAATTGTCAAAGTTAAATCATGAGGACTTTTCTATGGTGAAAAGTTAAAAGCACAAAAGGCGACAACTTTAATACAAAAAATTTTAATTAACACAATAATTCCATTTAAGATAAGCTTGTTCCTACTTTATACTATTTTCCATTGTGTATTGTAAGTATTTTTAGTAATTAGACATATAATAATTGAAAATCTCCATCCATAATTTTGCCAATAATAATATGAATTTGATGTTGCTATACAAAATATGGCCTTGGGAATCAAATTCAATGTAAACTCGTAATAATGTCTTACCATGGGTTTCAAATATGAAATTATTAACATAATTTTTTCTCCTTATCTTAAAACAAATTTTATTACAATCAAATACTCGTGGCAAGAAAGCGGTAGCTATTATTGTATGAACCTAAGCGTCACAAAATAAAAACCTCAAGCAGGGAAACTCCTGTTTGCTGGTTTGTGAGTAATATACTAATCATTACAGTTCGACTACAGCCGACGAGTGGATGTAGTCGCTCTGGTGGAAAAGAGACTTAAATACTACTTAGATGCCACAGCAGTTACTTAAAGGTTTTATTATACGCAAAAGAATTTTCCCATCTTGTGTTTTTTTATGTTTCTCTTTACTTTACTGTCTTTGTCTCTTTTTAACATAATCATGTCTCCTACATAAAGACTGACAATGTATCCTTTAATTGTAGGTATAAAATTGTCAGTATTTTATGATTTTATTAACATTGAGATGTACAGGATATATCCTTGTACGTCGCAACTCTGTTAGTCAATTTTTTTGTATATAAAATCTTGTTGAAATGTTTTTTTTTTGTAAAGTTTAGTTACCAATAACTAGTTTTGAAACTAGTGTATGTAAGACTGTCGCATAATTAAATGATTAGACTCGACTTAGGCTAAATAAAATATAATTTAATTTTTATGTATTTTTAATTATTTTATACAATGCTGTGTAATTTGCATTTATTTTATTGTCGAAATTAAAATTTGCCAATCGATGATATTGCGTTCGGTTGTATTAAATATAACATTATTATGTGTATATCTTGAATATAATATACGTATATTGAATGTCATCTTGTTTTAATTCCTATGAGAATCTGTTGCGCTAACACTTGGAAATATGTTTCGGTATTTCATCCACAAAAAATTAATTTAATGCCTTTTTTAAATAGCCTATTGAATGAGTATGTTTCTGTATTGACTACTAATAGTCGTCCATTGTTCGTAATTCGACAAAAATTCGTTTAAAACATTTTTTTAAAATTTAGATTAATATTTTTAATTATGTACCTATCCTTTATGCACTTTTTCTCCTCAGTAACATTATGTTAAACTTGACTGATTTAAAAAAAAGCCTAAATGTTCTTCCAAGCTATTTTTTACATATGTAGCAAATTTTAACGAGATCCATGCAGCTGTTCTGGCCTTCTAAACAAACATTTATACATCCAAACATTCTCATTTAAAATATTAGTAAGATATCACGTTCATCGGTACACGCAAATAACTTAAAAACAGGTAAAACTTATTGTTACAGGTATTATATACCTTTGGTAACTTTATGTACTGTAAATACATAAATACAGAACTTCCGTAAGCGTCTAAAGTATGAGACCAGTTGCAATGGGTAGGTCAAAACAGGTTTTATGTTCTTTCGTGCTTCCTGTCCCAGGTATGCCGCTTTCTACGAAAGCGCGTTATTATTCTACAATATTTCGAGCAGCGAATAACTTTGAACGAATCTCGCAAGCTTTAAATTCCAATAACTAGGAACTTGGAAAGGGATTCGTGGGAACATTAGTTTCGCTTAAGTTTTAATGGTAATTCAGGATATGTTAATGAACTCGAAAAGTATGCAATTGAAACTGTAAATTGTGTATTACTTTTTTCACCTACGTAATATTTGACTTTGAATTTTCTTTGCTAATTAAAAATGGTGGTCTAAATATTTATTTTAATTAGTATTTAAATGAGCAGTAACCTTGTTTTTTTTTATTTATTTTGTAGAGTAATCTTATGCAATAATTGTTACGAATGTAAACAATTTATATAACATTTTATTTTTTCACTTTCAGTTGTATCAGATTAATTTGTGACATTTAAAAAAAGGTTTTGTTTTTAGTTTCGATTTTAATTAGTAATTAATTTCAAAAATTAATGTATTGTTTTTGGCAGCGATAGAAATAACAAGGTAATAAATAAAATATTTATTGATTTGATTAATTTAACTCTTAGTATCATGCTTAGTGCATCAGAATAGTTTCTTATACAATCTATGAGGACGATACATAATGTCCAAGGGTTTTATTACGTAACTTATTACTAGCATCCTCTCTAAAAATAAAAGTGAACGTATGTAAAAGCGTAACACGTAATAAATGCCATGATATTTACACTTGACGCAAGGAATTTTCGCCGTTATGATTTTCGGAAGATGAATGATATTCATCAACAATGATTTGACCGTTAGATCGAAAGTTGCTTGCACATTTAGTGTTGCGATGACGGGTCACGCTCATCAAGTTTTATTCTGCTAGTTTAAAGATAAAATGAACTTTGTTATATACAAAATATTTGTGTTAAAGATTTTACGCTCTGACTCGTACCTTCTGTAAGTTACACATAAATATAAAAAGTTATCGTTCTGTCAGATTGTGTGTTACAATAAGCATGAGTTTACACTTCGATAACATCTGTTATTTTTATGTCCTTAACTAAAAAGAAAAAGATGTCATTTTTAACTAAATACTCATTGCAATATCTTTATGAACAAGCGTCTCGGTAGTGAAAACTGACAGTCAATCTCATTAATATTATAAAGGGATTTAAAAACAGGTTGGATGGATATATGTATATGTATCTTGAGAACCGCTCAACGAATCTTGATGAAATTTGGCACGGATATAGTCTGGAAGAAAGCTACTTATTAATTTTTTTTTATTGCCGCGCGGACGGACTTGCGGTCGACTGCTATTTGACATATTTTGATAGTAACACACTACCAAAGGTCACTTTTTGTCCGAAAATATATGTAGAATAGAAAGTACACTATATGAAGGCTGATAGAGATATATGGAGGAGTAGTACATACTGTGCTGACCCTCGATAGGGATAAGGGCAGGTTGATGATGATGATGATGACAAAGTACACAATACAAAAATGGTACAACATTAAGTAAGTTGTTAATTAGTTGTAAAGAAAGTTAATTCTTAAAACTTAAGTAACTTAAGTAGGTCTACGGAAAATCTATTAAATCAAACAATAGTTGATAATCTTGGTCGAATATGTTATCTAATATTGATGTAACTTCCTAAGTTTTCATGAATATGAATTAAGTTGGCGATGCTTAGATAAAAACGTCTAACGTCTGGGAAATTTTTATTGTGATTTGAATAAATGGCCGGATATTAAACATTAACACCGTTATAGCTCAGTTGCTAAGCGTATACGAAATGGCAGAGGTTCAATTCCAACAATTAACGATAACTGTAGTTTTACTGTCGAACTTAGGTTAGTTTATTGATAATTTAAGTAGACTAATAGCGTCTCTCTTAATGACCATCAAAACGCTCCACGTTCAAAAGTTAAAAGAACTATAGTAGCGTTGCTTACAGAGGAAAATGGCTAGAGTCACTGACTTCTATACATGGACCGGCTATAAGCCATGGTAATTTGTGCCTGTTTAATTTTGGACATTTTGTCGCTGACGGCAGCATTGTATAACGGTGGTGAGGATTCAAACTAAAAAGAAGGAAGATTTCATTTCCAGGCCATAACTTATTC